AGTATTGAGTTATTTTGAATGTCTTCATTTCATTCTGTTAGGTATAGTAGGTAAAATATAACACTGAGCTTTATTAGCAATCAGCTGAGGAGTTTACCTGTTAGCTGTCATAATATTTTCTTCAAATTAGCCATTTTTTTGTGTGTGTCAATTCTATCTCGAGTAACATATGTTCATTGAAATTTGCTTTTTTCAAAAAAATATTTTGGCAATGACATGTGTGCTTTATTTTCACTTGAGAACATTCTTTCATCCCTTCACTATTAGTTTGTTCTTTTAGTACTTAGCATATATTTTAATCAGCTGCTGAGAAAACTCAAAATGTCTCTATAGAATAGCTGACTGTAGTTTTTTCTTTATTTGTAATTTTGTACATATGTCTTAGGCAGCAAATTAAAAATCAACTGTAAATCCTAATGCAAATATATTCTTTTTTATTCCAATAACTTAATCCATCATATAAAATACCCAGTGACTCAAACTCATAGCACCTCTCTACATTACTAGATTTCACCTGTTTTACACACGCACACACACATTTGGAAAAGAAATGGAGAGGTAAGCATAAAGTTAGTGCTTACTGGATGAGAGCTTGTTCTCTGTCAAAATACCATAACTGTTTCAATCAAATAGAGTAAGTCATGGAACAGTTGATAAATTGCTTACATACAACCACAAGGACCTGAGTTCACATCCCCAGGACCCATACGCCAAAGCCAGGCACAGAAGCACACATCTGTGATAATAGAAGACAGAAGGATCCCTGGAGTTGTCTGGACAGCCTGTCTAGCCAGTCAGTAAGCATCTGTCTCAAAAAGTAGAGTTGATGTTGGAGAGGATGTGGAGAGCTGGTGGCCACAGGATGCTATGATTCTATGATAAGGATCTGGAAAATTGACATGAGAGAAGATGCTCCCATGTTAGTCCGCCAGCTTGATGTCCACAAGAGTTTTGTCAACTCTATCTGTTTTGATGATGAAGGTTCTCACAGGAGTGGAACACTCCTCCACTGTTGGTGGGAATGTAAACTTGTACAACCACTGTGGAAAT